ACAGATGATGGAGGGAAGGGGAGGACAATGACGGAGGGAGGAGGAGATCGATGACGAGGGAGGGAATGGAGGATGGAGGAGGAGTTCAATAGCGAGGGAGGAGTGGGAAGGGAGAAGGGCGGAGGGAGTACGACGCCGGTGATGGAGGGAAGGGAGGACRACGACGGAGGGAGGAGGAGATCGATGATGAGGGAGGGAATGGAGGAGGGAGGAGTAGATCGATAGCGAGGGAGGAGGGGGAAGGGAGAAGGGCGAAGGGAGGACGACACCGATGATGGAGGGAAGGGGAGGACAACGGCGGATGGAGGAGGAGATCGATGACAAGGGAGGAGGGAGGAAGAGAACTTGACAAGGAGGGAGGAGGGGGGAGGTGGAGAAGAACGATGGCAAGGGAGAAACGGGGAGGAGGAGGAGCTGCACAGTTTCCAGAGAGAGAGAGAGAGAGAGAGAGAGAGAGAGAGAGAGAGGGGCTGGTGGTAACCCACCTGGATATGGCCGCTGCTTCCTTCGCTTCTTCCCAGTGCTGCGACCCTTGGCTCCTTCGTGTTGTTGTTCGCAGCTGCACGGGATGTGGCTGAACGATGAAGTGGGGAGCTGCTTCCTGTTGCAGTGAACACGAGAAGAGGTGTACAAGACGACGACGACGGCGATGACGAGACACGTCGGCCGTGAAGGACTGCATGGCGTCGAGGCACCAAGGTCGACTGCTGGGCTGGGGGCCGACATGGGGCAGGTTCGAGCAGTTCAAAAAATGAACTGCTTGGATCTCCCCGCTCTTTTTTTTTTTGCGGGGGCATTCGCGGCCTCAAAAAAAAATTCTTTTTTTTTTGTAGCTGGCGGTGCGAAGTCCCTACCGGGCATACAACCCCCCCCCCGAACTTTCGTTTTTTTTTTGGGACCCCTTGATTTGCTTGTGCGCCGCATGGCATGTGCGCACATCATGTGCGCTGCGCGGTGCGGCGCATGTGCGCGCTGCAGGACATGCCGATCCGCCGCATGTATGGTCCCAAGTAAAGTTTCTATCACGATTTTCTAATCTTGGAACCTGAAACCTTCGGAATCTCTCCGATAGTTAGTTTTTTTCTTCTAATAAATTGGTGATACGTGCACATGGTGGGAGCTGCTAAACGTTGCTTGGCGCAAGGGGCACGATAATCTCTATAACACTAAAGCAAGGAAAGGGTCCAGCGTCACGCTTGGTCGCGGGCCCAAGAGAAATCGCCCGGGACACAAAACCGAGGCGGGGGGGAAGGCGGACACGGGGACGGGCCGATGCCAGGCCGAGGCGAAGGGGCGGGAACCGGGCAGCGCAAAATCGAAGGCGCGCAGGCCTAGGTGAAGGGGCGAAGGGGCGACGACGAAATTCGAAGCGGGGCAAAGCGGGGTGCACGCGCAGAGGTGAAGGGGCGGGAACCGGGTAAGCAGGCCAAAGCGGGGCAGGTGCGTACGCAGAGGCGAACGCCTGGGACACAAAACTGAGGCGGGGAGGAAGGCGGACGCGGGGACGGGCCGATGCCAGGCCGAGGCGAAGGGGCGGGAATTGGGCAGCGCGAAATCGAAGGCGCGCAGGCCCAGGCGAAGGGGCGGAGGGGCGACACCGAAATTCGAAGCGGGGCAAAGCGGGGTGCACGCACAGAGGCGAAGGGGCGGGAACCGGGTAAGCAGGCCAAAGCGCGGCAGGCACGTACGCGGAGGCGAAGTTCCGGAGGGGTGAGCCGGAAATTCGAAACGGGCGAAAGCGGGGGAACGTGCGTGGGCGGGGTGGCGGAGTTTGCGGTGCACAGGACACGGGTGCCGACACTGTGCATGGGGCGGACGTCCATGCATGTGCGTGCAGGCGGCATCGTGATGCGGACAATGTGCATGGGCGCGACGTCGATGCATGGCTATGTTCGACGAACGCGGTGGACGGGCTGGAGAAGGAGGAGGGATCTGCTGTGCACGTGTGTATAAGAAGTTCGCGCAATGCCGCAGATAGGCAGAATGTGAGCACGACGGGAAGAGGAAGTGTGACGGGATCGTGTGTGACAGAGCGGGGCTATGCGCGGCGGATAGGCACAACGTGAGCGCGACGGGAAGAGGAAGTGTGACGGACGAGATTGCGCGCGACAGAGCGGGGCTGTGCGCGGCGTGTTGCCGTGCCGAAAGTGTGCATGGGAAGAGCAAGTGTGACGGGACAGTCTGCAACGGGAAGCAAACGCAGTTTTCACGTGCACAACGTATCGTGAATCAGAGCAAGGCGACACGCCGCGAAGTCAGTGGCGATGATTGATCGAGGTGCGTTGTCCTTTCTCTCTCTCTTTCTCTCTCTCTCTCTCTCTCTCTCTCTCTCTCTCTCTCTCTCTTCCTCTCTCTCTCTCTCTCTGTCTCATCATTCGGTCTCTCTCTGATCATTACGTGCACACTAAGAAGAGAATGCTGATGAAAGTCGATTGTGTTGCGCGAGATGGCCGTGCTCAACGAGAGAGCGATGGGCGGCTGAGAGAGAAATAGAAGCCGGGAAGAGGGAAGTCGGGATCAAAAGAGGGGGGTCGGGATGAGGATGGAAGTTGGGGTGGGAAGCTGGCAGCAGGAGGTAACGACAAAAAAACAAGATGCGCACATTTCTCTCTCTCTCTCTCTCTCTCTCTCTCTCTCTCACACACACACACACACACACACACACACACACACACAAATAGATTGATTCGATTTTGCACTCTCTCGCTCTCTCTCTCTGACACACACACACATGGGGAACGAGACCGGGATCGGGATCGAAATCATGACAAGGATAGAAGTCTGCACATACTGACGATGGGCCAATGAGAGAAAGGGGGAGGGGGATGGAACTCGGGAAGTAAGTCGGGATGACGACAAAGGGGAAAGTCTGGATCAAAAGAGGAATGAGGTCGAGATCGCGATGCAAGTCGGGACAAGGATGGAAGTTGGGATAGGGACGGAAGTAGAAACTCGGGAGTCGGGACATGGATAGAAGCCGGGATCCGGAGAGAAGTCGAGACAGCGATGAAAATGGGGATCACTCTCTCTCTCTCTCTCTCTCTCTCTCTTTCTCTCTCTCACACACACACACACACACACACACACACACACACACACACACACACACA